CCACAGAAGCTGGATCAATTGCAACATTGGCCTCATCTGCCCCTGCTGTTACATCTCCTGCAAATACTATGCCAACTGGCTCTGCACCATCATCTCCATCACCTACTGAAACTACATCACCAAGATCAACAGCATCTGCTACAGAACTTACTAGTGAATCCATATCTCTTGCTACTATATCCACATCCACATCAAACACCAGAGAAGCTGGATCAATTGTATCATCAGCGACGTCTGCCTCTGTTGTTACATCTCCTGCAAAGATTATGCCAACAGGCACGGCATCATTATCTTCGTTGCCTAACCAGTCTGCATCAGCAACCTCCTCAGCCTCTCCTGTTACAATGCCTTCTGAAAATGCATCCCTTACTCTGTTATCAACGTCCATGTCAAAATCCACAGAAGTTGGATCAATTGCACCATCAGCCACATATGCCCCAGCTGCTACAATGACTACCTACCTGATCCCAACAGGCCCTGTGTCACCATCTTCATCCCCTAGCCAAACTGAATCTCTTCGACCAACATCTTCAACATCTGCCCTACCTGCTAGTACTACTGGACACATTGTCCCCACAGGCTCTGCATCGTTTTCTTCATTGGCCAGCCAAAATGTTTCACTAATCTCTTCAGCCTCACCTGTATCGAGGACCACTGAATCCATAACTATTGTTTTCGGCTCAATATCTCCATCTAACGCCACAGCAACTAGACTAACGGTAATTTCAATGACACCTGCAGCATCTGCTACAAATTTTGAACAGAGTGTACCACCAGGCTCTACATCATCAACTTCATCCCTGAAACAAACTGCATCAGCACACTCTTCAGCCTCTTCTGTCCCACTGATGAGTGAATCTGAAACCCTTGCCACCATATCAACATCCATGTCAGAAACAACAGAAGCTGCGTCAGTTGCAACATCAAGGACATCTGCCACAGCTGCTACATCTCCTGCACACATTGTACCATTAGTCTCTGTATCATCAACTTTATTACCTAGCCAGTCTGAATTAACAACCACTTCAGTCACTCCTGCTGCACTGACAAGTTTATTGGTAACCTATGCCACCATATTGAAGTCCACATCAAATATTACAGCCGCTGCATCAGCTGCAACATCAGTGATATCTCGCCCAGCTGCTACAACTACTAAATACCTTATATCACCAAGCTCTGTATCATCATCACCTAGCCAGACTTTATCACTCAGCACCTCAACCCCTCCTACCTTATTGATCAATGAATCCATAACCAGTGTCTCCGGCTCAACATTTGCATCTAAACCTGCTGCAGCTGAATTAAATGCAACATCATTTACATCTGCACCATCTACTACAACTACTGCACACATTTTCCCAACAGGCTCAACATTGTCATCTTCATCCCCTAGCCAAACTGTATCACCAAGATCATCAGCTTCTGCTTCAACACTGACAAATGAGTCCGTAACCCATGCTAGAGTCTCGACATCTATAATTAAGACTCCAACAATTGGATCAGCTGCAAAATCAACAACATCAACGCCAGCTGCTTCACCTACTGCACACATTATCCCACCCCCAGTCTCTAAGGCCAAAGTACCCAAATCAAATACAACATCACTTTCCCCTGCTGTAGGTGCTACAGCTGTAGGAAATATTACTTCATCAGTTCCTGCATCCACATCTTCAACAACTTCTCCTCCTGACTCAGCAAGCTCCTCCCAGTCTCCAGTACCTCCAAATATTACAACATCACGGTCACCAACAGTGGCCGGATATAATATTTCATCACTTACTTCAAGATTTGTCCAACTTGGAAATACGAATAGACCTGATTCTCCTACTTTAGGCCCCATATCTTTTAATAGACCTTACTCTCTGTCAGCGGCAACTCCATCACCCTCCACAATGTATGTTATTTTTTAATATGTTCCATGATTTTTCTTTTGTAAATACACGTTGTTATCATTTACTTATTCTAGTTTACGCAATATTTGTAGAATATCACTGATTGTTTTTTTGTGTTTTTCAGCATTAGGGATGTGCTCATATATGTCCAGATTGTGTTTGTCACTCGCATGTCAAGGCTGCCCAGTGAAAGTGAAGTTCTTAACGTCGCCAATACTCTGCTAAGTTCAAAAGCAAGATCTGAAATTATAACACTGATTAATCCAAGAAGCCTTCAGAACATCACATATCAAAGTACGTGTATAATTCCCTTTTCCGTTTTAATATTTTTCGGGTGAAAGATTCTCCTTCCATTTGCACAAGCATTTCATTCCTTATTTTCTTGTACTTAGAAATATCATTTGAATTAATGAAATCGGGCAATCTGAAACACAAAAAATATGTTTGACATAGCTTCAACTTTATTTGGTAAACACTCATGACTAAGCACTGGACATTTAATACGATTGTTGTTTTCTATATTTCCAGAAATCTCAGACACTTCATTCGGAATCAACTTGACCTACTTGATGAATAATGTCAAAATTGATAAAAGAATCTCGTTGACAAATAAGACTTACAGTCAGATCCAGGAAGACATAAACAAGTTGGTGAGCTCATCCTCTCTACGGGCACTGTGCCCATAGTGACCCCCCCCCCCCTTTCATTGTCTTTGGGTGAATCATAGACTGCAGGAACCCTCAGGGATGCCACACAACATATTAATTTCATATTTTTTGCTCATTCATTTAACTTTACGTGTATGCATGACATATATCACAATTATATAGTTATATAAAAAAAAAGTAATGAGAGAACAATGCAATGTTCAAAGAGGTAGTATAGACAAAATTGATAGCGAAATTTAAAGAAACTTTAAAACAAAGTTACAGTTTTGCTAAGTTTTTTGTTGTGCTGAAGCTGTATATTTGTCAAAGTAGAAGATGGCTGGTTTGAATGGCGTGAATATGCAGGAGTCTTCACTTCTCCAGGCTTTGTAGATGTATGTGTCAGGTATAGGCAAGCTGTCATAGGCAACACAGGCTTTCACAGGTAAACCCTTCAAGGAAGATTATTGCTTTTTACTCCACTTAATCTACGGAGAATACCAACAGTTACTGGAATGTAAATACATGTATCTTTAAAACCCCGACTTCTGATACTGTTTTGAAACTGGTCAATGGAGAGATTGCTTACATTTGGTGGAATCTAAACCCTACTTTTTGTGTAGAATTTGGTCATCTGGTTTCTCCCCGCAGTGGAAGGACGTAGTTTAACGAATTGCTGTCTGTAACTTGCTCATGTCACGTGTGTCTTGGGATCGAGTAGCATTTTTATGAAACGTACCTTGTGACTCTGGGGAGACTCCAGGCACACAAGCCCTGTGCTAGTTGTACTGGATGGATTATCACCTTATTTCTAATATTTGTTTACGAAAATATACAACAGGGATGAGATCAGCTGACTAAATCGCACTGTGTAATGGGTTGCCTAGAAATAACTGCAAAAAAAAAAACAGTAATCTATTGATTACATATGCAATAATAGTTTAACAAATGGGGTCTTGTTATTTGGAGGATGCACAGAATATGTAAGACAAGAGTCATTAGTAACCTGCTGGGAGTTTGTGCTGTAAAATAATCTACTGAACTAACATAAAGTTGTATTTTCAAATCGTTTGTGGTTATTGAACCCTAGTGTAATATAACAGAACCGCAAAAGTTGATATTTCTCTTCTCTTCATGCTTTGGTTTTCAGATGAAGCTTATTCTCACTGACCCCTTATCCAATTCTAATGTCAACTTTCCAAATGCGACCTTTAAGTAAGTATCAGCATCAAGCTAATATCAAACATTATCTAACAGCATTATATACTCCGACCATTAAAATGTACCTTTTTTGCTTAAATTATTTTACTTTAAAACATTTGCTGGAATTCTTAAAAATAAAATAATAATCAGAGAGCTGAAAATATTGTGCAGTGTATAACGTTGCTCCATTATAATTTCATCCAAACTTTTGCTTTCTTCCTTACAGTGATAATAGTAGTTGGATCATTGCATATGAGACCTACACTTTTCACATGGAGGACATTAACCATCCAAGCAAATTTTTGAATGCGATCATGAAACTCATTGGTAAGTTTAATTCATCAATCACTGCGTGTCTCTTTTCAGCGTCATAGGCAGGAGCTCACAAACATATGATACAAGTGTTAGTGGTCTGTTGTGATGTACAGTATTGTGTAGTATACACTGTATATCTTTGTCTTAGGCAGTCAAAGAAAATGATGACTAAATGTTGATATGATATTATGTCTGTCAATGTATGTCAGCTTCGAAAACTCTACTAAAATCACCCAAGTATTTGCAGCAACCGTCCAACACAACACTAGCAAACCTTGTTTGCCTAATCGCCACCTCATTGAGTTACTTAGCTAATTAATTAAGTTTATTAATTAATTGAGCTGGTGGTAAAATTTAACGAATATATGGAATAGCTGGGAGAGGTTTTGTGACTGAAATTCTAGCCATCCAACAAGATGAGTAACTTTTTGCAGAACAGAAGAAAAAATTCTTGTTAGTTTTTATTGTGTTATTGTTAATATGCATATATTGTAGAGTTGAGCCGGATACTCGGCTGAAACGAGTATCCGGTACGGATAAAGCACTTTTGACGAGTACGAGTATCATACGAGTAATACAAGTCAATATCTGTGCTCGGATTGAATAAAAATTCTCATTGGGTAGCTGACTGTGTCTGCGTTCTGTGATAGACTAGTCACAGCGCCCCTCCCCTACACACATACAGATTTATTGTGTTGCTGTGTCCCGCTCTGCTCACTCACACACAGAACACTGAGAAGAGAAGAGAACAGCGCTCTCTCTCTCTCTGTCGCTCCCTCAGTCACTCAGGATCGCGGGTTTTTTTCCGCTAACGTTTAGGGTTTCTTCAGCTTCAGGTTTGTTTGTAGAATGCGACTCGCGTCTCTGCCTGTCGGAGTTTTTTTTTTCTTTTTTAAACCGTCAGCTGGCTCTAACCATTTTTTTTTACTTCACGCACTGAGTGTCTGACACTTTCTTGCTGTATTTTATAAAAAAAAATAAAGGTAGTTGTGGTATAATTAATATTACAAATTAAGCTACACACACAAACACACACACACACACACTCCCCCCCCTCTCTTTCTCTCTCTCTCTGTCTCTCTCTTCGTCACTCACTCACACACACTCACACATACCTGGTGTGGAAATAAAAAAAATAAAAAAGAACCAAAAAAAAAGAAATCACACTGATCATAAAAAAATTAAAAGTTAAAGAAAGTTATGTTGAGATGAAAACTCTTGTTCATTACATTTTACTTCATAATTGCAACCGCATGTGTTGTATTCATTGTTGCAAAACTTGTTCTGTATATAGTTCGTTTGTTATCGTGATCAAAACCACTGATCTTAAGCTCAATGCTGATGCTGTCATGTAAATAGTTTTCTAATCAGCAATAAATATAACAATTTCTGATCAACCCATATCAATTGCATGCTTAAAATAACATACCGGTTAAAGCCCCGCCCATTTAAAGACAACCCGACCCACTTCCAGGTCAAACCCCGCCCACTTCTGGGTTAGGCCCCGCCCATTCCGAGTACAGATACAGATACAGATAATTCATATGGTTAACAGATACGGATACAGATACAGATAATGCTGTAGTCGCTCATCCCTAATATATTGTAATGGTAAATTGTTTTTTCTTCTGAACAAATACACTTTTACTACTTAGGTGAATAGCTTGAAACATTGTCTTTGACTGACAGTACTGTATATCAAAGACGTGCGCCTGTAAAGGTGAATGCAGACAAGACTTGTAATGGATAAGTGACTATGGAAAGAAGGATGAATGAATGCAAAGGTGACAAGCCGGCCACTGCTCTAACTATGAATCTATGTCATCTTCAGGTTTAGTAACTACTCCTCCCCCTACCACTACTGCTCCCGGCCTCCTTCCCAGTCTCCACATGACCGGCCCCTCCGCTGGTACCACGGCTGGGGTGGGAAGTCAGAGATTTCCAACCTGGGCTTTGGCCATCATCATCCCGTGTGCCATAGCCATCATCCTCATTCCCTTATGGATTCTGCTATGTGTAAGTCCCGCGTTTTCTGTGTTCATCTTTGTGTCACATATAGAGGCAGCAGCACAGTGCAGAGAGAAATAAAACATCTCTGTCATTCCGATATAAATAATTACATTTTGCGTCGGCCGCCGTTTCCCTCATTCCGTCTGTTTCGTTTTTCTTTGCTTTGCAGTGCCTCCTGTTCGGTTGCTGCGCAGCCATCAAGAAGCGTCTCAGCAGACGGAGGTCCTACCTTATATACAGGGCTCATAGTGACATCTTTTAAAATGAAACAACACGCGGAGAGGAAGACAGACACAAAATTTCATGCACACTTACAAAAATATATATCTTTAATGTTACGTAGAAATACTGAAAAATATATGCGTACATTCTGAAATGTAATATCATATTAAGCTGTATTTTCAATCAATGTATATGTAGTGTAAAACAATCTGCAATAATAAGCTAAACGATCATTATTATTTATTACTTTAAATATATACCTCAAAAATCAGTGTAATGGCTTTATGTGCTTGATAGCCCACATTTAATTGTAGTTTAAATGGCATAGTTTGTCGTGTAATTTTGCTCCTATCTATGTTAACATCTAAATATTTTAAAAATTATTTATTGCAAAAATCATCTGAATTAATTTAAATGTGAATTATTTCTTATTTGTATTGAATTTATTATTCATTTTATCATAATTTAAATCATCATGGTCTGTATTCATATTGTCATGAAAATTAAAAGCATATTAAATGGCCACATGATGAGTTCAATTACTATTATTTCTTCGATATTTTTAAAATAAAATATTTAATAAAATATGAATTGAAGATCTCCCACCTTAAGATCAAACACTACAAAAAAAATAAATTTACGTTTTTTAGGTATATAAATGTATATATAATCAATGTGAAAACAAATACTGCATTCATCATGCAAATTACATTCAAAGATGAAATACAATTACTTTCTATTATTTAGACTATTATTTATATTTTTTCCCGTATCATATAATCTCGGTGTTAGCTTGGTATTTGTCCTTTAAAGCTTGGAAAGTGAACTTGCCCCGTGGACCTTTTAGATAGATGCTGCAGTCAGAAATACGGCAAAAGCAGAGGTAAGACCAATGACATTTTGCACCACATCAGGTCAACCCCCGGCACCCCACTGTTCAAGCACGGGCAAGCCCATTGCTCCAGCACGTTTTTGCCTCTTGTCTTTTTCCCAGAATGCCTTCTGTCCTCCTGGTCCACTTCCCTGTCCCTCTCAACTCCGTGAAATTCATTACCGGTGGGTTGTGAAAAAGAGAAGCTGCCCGGGGCGGATGAAAAAGGCTGAGGACAATCGAGCCAGTCCGTGGCCAGGGAGCGCGGAAATCCTGCTCCAGGGCTGGAGCCAGGATAAGGAAACTTCCAGTACAATTGGCCTCTAAAAATGTTTATGGAGCCTGATAGAGATGAAGAGAGAAAGGTCAGCGAAGAGAGCATCATCAACAAATGGTAACAGTAGCCAGTAACACAATAACACTGTACTGTGCAAAAGTCTTAGGCAGTCAAAGAAAATGAGTAAGGCTATTTATCCATTTCCTGAAACTGCTTGTCCTATCCCAGGTGGTATGGGCACAAGGGGGGGAAGAACCCGGTACAGGGTACCAAGCCATCGCAAGGCACACCCACACACCAGTCACTCCTATGGGCACTTTGGTAGCGCCAATTAACCTCAACATGTCTTTAAACTTGGGGAGGGAAACGGAGGAAACCCCATGATGACACGGGGAGAACATAGCAGAGACTTGAACCCTGGGCCAAAGGTGTGAGGAAACATTGCTAAGCACTGCCCCCATGCTGCCCCCGGAAGACTATTTACCTTTGTAGTAATTGTGTGTTTCCGCAAAGAAAAAAGATTTAAAAGATGCAAACTAACAGTGACACAATAAAAATAAACAAGCATTTTGTCTGTTTTCCAAAAAGAACTGATGTCTTGTTGGATAGGTAGGTAAACTGCACTTTAGCTCCGAAAACACTCTTTACGGCCACCTCATCCAATTTATGTATTCGTTAATTTTTTCCTGCAGATCAATCTATCGATTAACTTACTTGTTAAGTAACTCAGTGGCATATTGATAGGCCAGATAAGCTGGGCTAGTGGTCGAGTTAAATAAAATATGGGTGTATTGGATGGTTGATGCAAATACTGGGGTGACTTTAGGAGAAGTTTCGAAATGGCCAAGATGAAACACTTACATAATATCATAGCTTTACACCAACACCCTGGCCTCATTTACACATCATTTTCTGTGACTGCCGACTGCCCAAGACTTCTCCCAGAGTTCTGTATATACACAAACTGTCTTACCATCTTCATCTGTGGTGATTCCATTCACACCTTTTCTTAGGAGTTCTTTCCAGATTTCTCCATTTTCTTCTCTATTGTTTTCTGCTTCTCTGTTCCCCCAAACTGTACCCTTTTCCATGTCCCATACCAGCCCTTGTTCAACCTCCTGTCCTCCGGCGCCTAAATCAGACAGAGGCCGGGGGTACCCTTCTTGTAGGGAGAGATCCTTAAACAACCAATACTGGGGGCCTAGAAGGAGATCAAAGAAATGATCAGAGTTGGAAAATTCAGGTTCAGGAAGTAAAAAGCCAGACCAAATTTTGTTTAAACTAGCCAGTTGAGCATAAAGAGTCATATTCACAGAGTACGCAACTGGTTTGTTGGAGCGAAATCTTGGTCTGGATTTGCAATTTCTGAACCTGAACTTTCCACTTCTGGAAATGGTCAACTAAACGTGCTATACTACTATTAGCAAACAATGCAACCGAGAAATAACGAGGCAGTTTTGTGCTTATTTTCTGGTTAATTTTTAGCTTCAGATACGTTTTATTTGACCAATAAAAAGTAAACACAAAATTTTAATGAATTAAATGTTCAAAAAATTAAAATGAGAAAGAGACTTAACCACTAATGAAGACAATTGCGTGGTCTGACTGTCTCTCTAAGACTGCCTGCAGAGAGGCTAGGCTGGGAGGAAGACCCCTCCACATTTGCCGAAGGACGGCGGGCTTCCCGGACACCAGCCCTCCTCGGCTAACCCTCCACATACTGAGACCTATTGGAGAGACAGTCGGTGGAATATCCTTTCAGATATGGTCACTGCCAATTTGAAAAGAATCCTTCTCAATCACCTCTCAAGTTACAACACCTATCGAACATAGCTATAATCTAATAAGACAACTTAACAAAGTGCAACACCATTCATAGAACATAAAAATAAAATTGCTGATGGTGATCGAACAATCATGGCAATAGGGAAGACAGTGCTGCGACACACATATGTTCACTGCATTTTGGAATTTTATATATAACTGTCCAGTGCATTCCAGTGTGACTATAGGAACTGAGAAATAGAAACAATACAATGTGTCCTTGCAACAAAACATTATTTCAATTCCAAAAATGTGATTTCAAATTGGTTGCTATATGACTCGTTACATTCTCTAATAAAGCACAACAATCTTTCATTCACTACTAACTCACCTTTAAAAAAAAAGGTCTCCCCTCTAATTTTGGCCACTGCATCGAAGCTGGTTGCACAGCGATCAAAAGTATTTCTATATTGAAGGAAAGAATTAAATCATTTTCAGTGCTGCAGCGATACAGTACAGCATTCAGCCTTGGGACAGTGAGCATTTACAATTGTGGTACCTTTGTTGTTCAGTAATATATTGTTCTCTGCGTCTGAAGTGAGGCTGTAAGGCTGTATCAGTAGAATCTATGGCCAGATGATTATCTCGGTTACCTGAGATACAGAGATATCAGAGCAATCATAACACGCAGCACAATATTAAGACGTACGTGTCTGTCATGTTTTGAAATCACAGTCACAATAGATTAAAAAAGGCATCAAAATAAATATATATATTGCCTTATATTTTATATACCTACTTTTTCATTTTATTTATTATTTATTTATTTGTTATTATTATTATTATTATTATTATATATTTTTTACCTACTTACACATTGATTCACTGATAAACAAGTAGAAACCCCAAGTGATACAATGAGCTAAAACAGTGATATGCACAACCTCACTGCAAGTTCAACAAAAGTGGTTATGGCTATTAAAAGTCATTCATTTTCATTGAATCTAAAACAATAGATGATGTCAGATGCTGATGTGAAAATTGAGTAACTTGGTAGCTTAGGATTCCTACACAGTTACAGCAAAACAACGTTATTTCACAAACTTCAGCAGTTGGATACAATTCACTGCTATGAAAAAATAGCTCATTCTGATTGTTTACTAAGGCAGACATAAAATGTTCCTATTCATACCATATAGTTTAGTGATCTGCTCCCTGTCCAGGGAGCTCAGGGTGAAGTCCAGGGCATCCCCCAGCGAGCCGTGGTAGTAAGGTCTCATGACAGACCGCTTAGAAGAGGAGTGGGACAATCCTAAGGCATGACCAAACTCATGCACCAGCACTGTGAAGAGATCAATACCCTCAGAGGCTGACAGAAACACACAGAGAGAGAGAGAGAGAGAGAGAGAGAGAGAGAGAGAGAGAGAGAGTAAATGAATTAAGGGTACATTTTATGAGGCTCGACACCCACATTTTGGCTACTATAAAAAGGTTAAAGGTCAGGCACTCACGAGGTTGCCTGAAAGCCCAGTCTTCCTGTGAGTCCAAGTGAACTGCACCAGCTCTGTCAGGATCAGATGGAAAGAAAGCATGGCCCACAGACCCACCCGGCCCATCAAAGGGAAAGCCGTCGCCATGTGAGCCGTGCAGGAAATCCACCAGTAAGTCAGCTCCGACTGGGCTGCCCACCTGCCAACAAAAGTAGGGTGGGGAGGTGACGCGGGGACGGAAACGGCCATGAAAAATTACCTTAATTTTATGTTAATAGGTGAACGTTTCCTACGTCGATGAGTGTTAAGCACATCTGCTTCAATTAGCTTAATAACAGTGAGGATAACAGAGTGTGGATGCCTTTCCTTTTGTTTTCCACCACCTACTAAAGAGATCTCATCCCTGCAGAAGCAAATCCTAAGCTGGTAACTTATAACAAGAAGTGACGGGTTCTTTCCATATTGTACCTGTGCCATTACATTGACATTAGGCCATGTATTTTTTTACATCATAAATGACATTTTAAAATTCTGTGAACGCACCTCATGGAATTCCAGTGGAATTGGCTCCGCCCAAACCTTAAGGGCATAGAACACCAGGGAGCGAATTGTCTCACGAGAAAGAGCAGAGGGAGTGGGATATGACCGCAACCTAGTGGTGACGAAGGAATGATCTGAGAATCGTGTACGCACCAAGGAAATCACAGAAGAGAGAAACGGGGACAAGAAAAGAGGAGAAAAATCTTGAAAATAAACCTCCAATTGATGTTCCTGTATGTCCAGGTAACTCCCCGTCTCTCCCGGTGTCTCCCAGCATGCAGGGGGTCCTGCTCCTTATCCTCATCTGGAAGGGAGCATCGCGGTTGGCGCATCAAGTCCAGTGTGTCCTTATCTAAGAGAAAGAGGACAAAGCAAGCGTCCATCGACCTTTGAGCTGACCTACTGAAATTCCATGAGAAGATCATAATTGTAGTGGAAGATCGTAATGACAGCATGCGTTTCAGTCATAACGATACGTTAGAGAATTCAGTGTTTAAAGGGCAGGCTGGAGGACTGTCTTTTGCAGACTGAAGCAGTAGAAAACTTGACCGTGTTCCATCGTATTTTATTGTTTTACCTACAGCTCCTGTTACATTGAGGCCAGCAAAGTTCTGCATAGTTCTTAAAGCCTGGGTGACGGCTGTCCAAGCTTGCAGCTGCCCGGTAGAGGGATCGGAGGGCGGGAGATAGCCATACCGTGTTAGCCAGTCCTGAATAGGGAGGAGGGAAGAACATCTACATGTGTTTGCAACAGGGCGATACTGTTTATAACTGGTTTAAATTGAGAAGGACATCACTAATACAACCTAATAACCTTAGAGAGATGTATTCAGCAATAGTCATGTTCTGAAACATCTCTGCACATTGGGAGCAAAAATATTAAAGCTTCTAATATGTCTCAGTGCCTTTCTCTCTTCATCTTACCACCAGTTCTGTGCTTTCATCCTCTGTAGGGCTGACAAAAGCAGAGGACGACGAAGTCTGAATGGTCGGGTGCAAAGGTGAAATAGGAAAGGCCTCCACTAGTTTGCAGACGTAGAGAAGCCGCAATCCCCAAACCATCACCCTCATTCTTTCTCAGTAATATGTGGTTGTCTGTAGGTTATTTCATAAATTAAATTTAAGTTACAACCCTTGACACCTCTGTCTCTTTTAAACCTAGGAATATGTATACATGATTTAACCTTTATCTGAAAAAAATCTTTTACTCTATAAACTTATATTGTGTCATATTGTAACATTATGAATTCTATATTTTTGGATATACATTTTTTGTTTAAGCTTACATATACAGGGCACCATTGTTAAAATACCCATTACTTGTCATTACTAGCAATATAACCATTTTTATAATGTCTAGCAATATATCATGTGAGTATTTCACTTTAATTTTATGTCTTCTTTTGATGCAATTTGATCAATGTTGATCGCACAGTCTTGTTCCTGGAACACAGAAGTCAATAGTGAGTCAGATGACACTGAATGTTTTTTATCTGACAAATGTCAAATATTGTATGTTACTTGAGAACCAGATTTGCGTGTCTGATTATTTATCATGGCTATGTATCCTATAGAATAATTCCTATGTTACTATTACAGATAAAACATCTAAAACAGGAGCATTTGCTAGCAATAAAAATTCATTAGTGGAAAATGACAAAGAAAGTACTCTGTTACAAGGCATAAAAACAGTTAGAGGAAGAAAATGAATGAGAGATGGATAACACAAGAGGATGTAAACCACGAAAGATGAATGAGAAAAGGGATTACGCGCTTTAATTTAATTAGGGGATGTCATTCCATTAACAAATGTGACAGGGAAGGAGGCATGAGACAGATTTGTGACATGATGAAATTAGATTAAATTAAATTAAAGACTCCTTTCTCTTGGGCAGTACTAAGGGGAAGAGCAAACTACAGAGCGAAATGAAACATAAGAAGTTAAAAAAAATAGGAAACAAATATGAGCATAATCAACAAATCTATTTCCTGATGGGGATAACTTATAAATGCATTGAATATCGTTTGTTTCCAGAAAAACTATAACGGGCCAAGTGTGTTTACTTTATAACATTCATACATAGAGAGAAATGCATTGAAATATTTTTTGACTGATTAAAGGTTATTTGATAAATAAATACCAGACACATTAGGACATTTTCAGTTATATTAATAGAGTCAGAGAACATAAGAAAGTGGTCAGATATGAAGAAAACAGTCCAGAGACCATCGCAGAGAAACCAGCAAATCTTGCTTACCTTCTGCATCCAGTATGTCCCTCTCTCTGTCAGAACAGATGTGTCCTTTCGAGATCTGGTCTTTTTGAAAGCCCTCCCACAGTCCAGCGCATGTAAGTCTTCACAATAGTCTCTTTACAAATGGCATTCCCACCCTGCCCTGCTCAGAAACAGCACAGTCAGTTAGCAGGGTGGGTGTCTTCTGTGTTGGGTGGAGGAGGGGCAGTTGTGGAGCAACTAAAATAAGGTACCACCTTTCATGCTATAAGAAGAAGCATGGAGATTTGCATCTTCTCTCTCTCTCTCACTCTCTCTCTCTCTCTCTCTCTCTCTCAGACACACACACAAACATACACACATACTTACTCCATCCAAATATAAAACACATAGATGAAGATTAATTCACATTTCCTTATTGTTAAATAACCAATTACCAAAATTAATTAAAATTTATGATCTTATATCCTATAAAATGTAGAATATTATCGGATATATTAATTTAGGGATTTTGAACCATTTCCAACAGAGCTGAAGAGAGTTAAATGGCATGCAAATATTACATGCAAAGTTTTGAGGGGAGGTGCAGATGCATGTTTTGTTGCAGGAGCTTTAAATCCTCAGATTTTAGGCGTAGAGTTAAACATTTAAGTATATATCTCTCTCTCTCTCAATGCATTGTTAACCCTGTTAGCCAATTACAGTTTTCTGCTTTGATCATTTTTATTACCACAAAGAGCATTTATATTGGCTTGCTGTTAATTATTTACATCAAGTATTTGAAGTGTTTAGTACTGCAAAGACCAGTAAAAGTAAGAAATGTTGCTCATATAAGTCATATTCATATATGACTGCATATGACTGCATTTTTGTTAAATGTTTCAATATGAAAATGCACCTTAAAAACAATGTGATAAATGGTCACAACAAAGCAAACAAACAGAGCAGGATGTTATACCATGACTGGAAAATCTAATTAGTTTCATATTAAACATTAGGTGTGAAGTTAGAGTGGATGTATTTAGCAAAGTGGTTTATTTAGATGTTCTCATAAGCATTTGTCACAGGTGATATTCTCTGTTGATTTCTATTCCTCTGCCTAAGGTGAAGGAAGAGAGCAGTTTGCAGAGATTGTTTTGTTGAAATGGGGTGAATAGGAATAATTGTATTAACACCTGTTGAAAAATTTTGCTGCATATTGAGAGTGAAATGGCGACAGAAAACAGCTTTTCCAGATGTGTGCTGTTGCATGCAGGTTTGTTTTTTTAGGAATCTCATGATAGGAAAAGCATACTTAAAACACTGCACGAATTCTAAAACCTGCTCATTAAACAACCAGAGTAACAAAATAACTACACATTGTAAGGTTCAAATAAAAGAGAAATTAAACATCAAACACTGAATTAACTTTAAAAGCATCAAAGTAATTGTTTAATGCCATTTTTAAACACTTTCTTTAAACGCTTCTAAAAAAGCTTTTCTTTCAAAGTAGAAAGAGTTAGGTTGTCTAGACAACAGATCTGACTTGGATGCATGTAGTGGCAAGGAGGGGTCAAAGGTCATGTGGTTTAGGGGCTCGGCAAGCTGTATTTTTAGAAGTTCCAAAACTCAGAGAAACTGGAAGCATGAAAGGGTTATGTGTTAGAGAATGACTGAATCTCTCAGCTGTCAAAACTGAAGAACTGAATTGAAGAACAGAACTTACCATCTCCTTGGTAACCAAGGTTTCTTCAGTGCTTTGTAACATAGAGTTCCATTGTTAACACTATTCATTGCATATCAGAGAGTACCGCAAAATTCTTTCATCAGTTTTACCTTAGTATGTTTCCGGTTTTAAAACTTAAAGATTTGTCTGCAGCAAATCAAAAGTGCAGTAGAATAAGCTGTATAATTTTATAGTAAAAAAGTACATCACCTACTATCAAACTAGATATGCTAATACTGTAATGCTATTTTTTTACTTATTCAAAATAATGTAAGGAAATTTACTTCACACATTGATGCAGGAGGCTACACCAAAAAAAAGAGAAAAGAATTCTTGTTATACAGTTAGATATCTTAGTAGAATATTAATTTACATCACTGTTCAGAAAACAAATAAACTATTTGGCATACACCCTTCCTTCGGGTTGTGAATGTTCCATGTCTGACTTTTCACTTATTAGACCCTAAAGAACTTCATGATTCCCAAACGTATTAACAAATTCCTTGGAGAGATGCAATCAGCAGCCTTATGCGTTGCCTTTAGTTTAGCTGCTTATTTACAACTGGAGCACCATGTGAACTTAGACTCTACTCTGGAATAACAGTCTCATAAAAACCATTTGTAAAGCAAAAAAAAGCCCATGGGTCCCCATAAATCTGGGCTCCCCAGAACTGCTGTAAGAGCAAAGACGCTACCTTAAACAAATGCCTTTACACCTTGTGTCAGGTCCCCAATGTCCCATTGTTGAACTACATTTCAATGGGGTTTTAAACAATCAACAATCACATCACTCAGAAATACCCACAAAATGACCCCGTCTGGAGATGCCGGGGATTGAACCCGGGGCCTCATACATGCAAAGCATGCGCTCTACCACTGAGCTACATCCCCTTCATACAAGAAGCTCTAGTCACATTCTATTTAGATTAGAAAACATTACGCGTATTGCAATTGCTCTTATTTTCCTGTATATACGGTACATAAGTCCGGAAATAAATGTGCTAACAGTCGCCTTCAGAGCCTAGCTTGCAAGTTAGCTTCGTAGCTAGCTAGCTAGTTTATTGCTAATAACACATAAACGGATTACTCTAAGTTCACGAGCTGGACAAATAATACCACTGTTTTTAAATTATTACTAAGAGACAGCTACTGTGATACTAGGTAATAACGTCAGCAAAATGACGAACTGTGTTACTTTTCAAGACGAATTAGCTTCTATTATGGATGTGCTAGTTAAAGCAGCGGTTACAGATATTAGTAAACTTTTTGACAATCGCTCTGCTTTTCTGCGCTTGGAAATATCCTATCACCAAAAAGAAAACACGTCTCTGAAAAGGAAATTGCAATGGATGGAAAATGAATTGAAAGCGGCCCGACGTGGAAGGGGACCGAAAGCAGCACGACAGACCATTGTTAAAAACCACCAGTCTGATAGCATCAAGGTTCGTTTTAAAAGTGTTGTTATATATTAAATTCCTAGACAAACTCTCTACATTTAAACTAGCTTATAGTCAGTCATTGCGTTATTGGGATGCCATAGTCGATTATCTGGTAGACTTAGTAATGTCAAAATAATATCCCTTAAAAGTCGACAGGAATACATCTATGTTTGGCCACTGAAATTTCCACAACTTTTTCACACGACAGCGCTTTCGTTGGGGTGTCAGGTTGCGACTGAGAAATTGTTCTGAATGTAACAAAGTGTTACATTATTCCAGGATGTCGATTTATCTAGGATTAGCCAGTATACTCTGAATGCAGTGTCCTAGGACAAGCAGGAATTAAAGCGCAATTTTCATAACCATATTCATTTCACTTCTACCTCAAATGGCAGAAGTTGTACTCTTTAACAAGCAATCTAACCAGCCATAACGATCAATCCAACCATCTTGACCATCTTGTTTATATTCAAACAAGTGTCTTGTTTAACATTTTGATAGAACATTTTATAAATATATATTTTAAGAATCCAGCACTGGAATTGGCTACAATAAGTTGCCAATAATATTAAAATTTCCTATTACAGGATGCAGACGTGGATGGAAGCTGGTCTGAAACTATTTTAATTAAGCATGAAGAACTTAGGGAGGACCTGGAGAACACTGATTCACAGAGAAGACAGAAAAGTAGCCAGAAAGGTAATGTGTCTGTTCCGTAATAAATTACAGTGTTTATACCTTTGCAAACATTTTATTCAATACAAAAAATGAACAGCAATGTAAATTTCTTTTGTTGGAAGGAGACTTGAAATCACCCCTTATCTGCTTGACCGCTTGACCTTTGTAATAGTAGGGGATGTAGTTCAGTGGTAGAGCGCATGCTTTCCATGTATGAGGCCCCGGGTTCAATCCCCGGCATCTCCAGGTTGGCTTCTTTTGTGGGAATCTGTGGAGCAGTATATTGCACAAAACCTTAATGACCCAGTTCCAAGCCATGGTCAAGGAGACCATAAGAATAGTACACAGCCCAGCCAAAAAAAAAAAAAGTCGCCATTTGAATTTTTCATTGGACCATCTTTAGTTTTGATTATATATCATCTTATCTTACTTCAACCTGGTTTGGTCTTTCTTTTCTGGATACCTCAGAAAGAAGCTTCTTGTCTTTACATTTCAAAGGTATTTCAGATAAATTTAAAATGAATTTTTGTTCTATGCATAAGATTGTTTGTAAACAGGTAAAATTTCAGACAACTGGAAACCTGTCGAGGTCAGGTTGCCCCACCAAATTCAGCACAAAAGATGCTTCAGGAAGTTGTCAAGAACCCAAGATATTCATATCCTGCTCTTTATAAGTAATTAAAACGGTTAAAATGCGGGGGAATAAAAACCAATGTTTTAACATTTGAGTCAATTCTCATAATGAAAACATTCAGATTGATAGAACAGATATTTCAGTTTTATCAGTATTGAATCTTCCAGAACCATGATAGGAGACCGTGAACATTTGTATCATGGTTTCGGCCTCGGTCTCAGAACTGATACACCACTACTTGTCATAGTAATCTGATGGGTTTTTTTTCTGTTTTCCTAAAGGCTCATTGGAATCACAGGATTTCAACAATGATAAACGAGTTCTCCACACAGAAAGGCTGCACAGCCGGGAGGACTGTGACGCACCTTTTACACCTGCATCAGGCATCAAGCAATTCACAGACCAGCACTCAATCCAATTAGTAGGGAAAAGACTCAGTAAACTGGCAGGAGTCTGCAAGTCAGAGGAGGAGTACTCTTGCTCAGCCCAAAGACTCAGTCAAACCACATCTGAGCACAGTACCCTGAACCATCCGTTTCCTCAATATCTAATG